AGCATGGCGGGAAGATTGGATTGCAAGTAGTGATGAACAGCATCAATGTTGCTATTAATCCCGAAGATATTCGTGAAACAAATTTTATCTTCGGTGTTGTTCCCTCGAGTCCATCCTCCATCCGGACATTCCGGGAGTGGAGTGAGCTTACGTCCGGAATTCATAGTACTCGAGGGATACATCATTTTTTTCTTTGTTGGGGAAGATAACCGACTGGCTAGCTCAGGTGTGGAAACATACGGACATTTATAAGACACCCTGGGAAAAGTTGCACATATCCACAAGATATTTACTTTAAAAATAAACACCAGGTACTAGAGTTACAATCGCATTATTATTGGTCAGTTTGTAAGGTTCGTAACAACAAGATCTATGAGCTAAGTAGCTATATGTTTATTGTGACTGCGTAAATCTCCTATGAACAGGGTCCACATTTTTTTTTACACCGAACCAGCCGCGCTGACAGAAATCCAAATTCCAGGGCACCCCGGCTGCTATAAGGAGCTTAAAGAAACTTTGTGAATCCGATTTTATAGCTGCCTTAGGATAGTAGAACTGGGAAAAGCTTCCTCATGTAGATTGTTTCACAATCTCGATACCGTAGGGACAAATGAGTGATCTTATCGGCCAGTTCTGGATGTACGAAGTTCGACACGGTTAGGATGGGAGGCCAAAGTAGAGCGGGTCTGTCTGGCATGCACATCGCTCAGCGGTTATGGAGCACAGTCGGTTGGCGCAGCGCTAGAAGAGACGGCCCGGCCCGCCTGCGCAAAAGGGTTCCACGACTGTCCGTTAGAGAAGAGTCATGTATCAGTCGGACCGCCCTCCTCTGAATTGCGTCACGCATGGATAATGAAGTCAGGGCGGTAGCACCCCAAACATGTGAGCAGTACTCTAGTCTAGATCTTATCTGGGCCTTGTACAGAGTAAGGAGCTCATGCGGGGAAAACTACTTCTTAGCCCTACATAGTCTAGATTTTACCCAGCAGCTGTCGCTACTCACGAGATGTGTTCGTGCCAGATCAAGTCCTTGGTGATCTGTACTCTCCGACCAGTCGAAATGAGCAGCTCTTTGGTAGAACTCGGCCATCTAGCTAAACTGGATGAGCGCTAGGACGCTTCTTGTTCATCTAGCTACAATACTGTGATTTGGATGCATTAAATTTCACAATATTGTTGCCTAAGGAAAGGCTCTCCTCATAGCTGTCACGCTGACTCGGTACTTAGGCTTCTGCCTACACAGCTCCGCGCAGCTGCATAACCAATATAAAAAAGCCTGAGGCCGATTGGTGAGACCAGTGACATAGCACTCATGAAGAACGTCTATTGCTGTCCCACTTTCGCTGTGCAATCTTCAAATTCATATTTAAACAAGTGTATTTTGCCTCTTATTTCCTTTTAATGTTTTTTTTCTGATTTAGAGTTGAATATCTCACAGTAAGTCTGGAGTCCAGACGATGAGGGCATAGACCTTCGAAAGCTCGAGTTTAACATATAAGAGTGTGCTTATGCAATAATTTGCCTTTTACCCAAAGAAATTCAAGGATATATATATATATATATATATATACAGGGTTATCCAAATTAAGTGTCCACCATTAGTAACTTTGTTATTAGTGAAAATACAAAGTTGTTTGAATTAGCAAACTAGTAGCATTTTTAACGCTGGTAAAAATGAGAAATAAAAAAAACAATTGAGAGTCGTTATTTTGATTTTTTTCAGTAAAATAACATTTTTTTAAATGGAAACCCCTGTATATTATATTTTTTTTCTGTTAAAGCATCAAATTTTAAACAAAAAAGCTTACAATAACTAAACTTTTCTCCTAGGTTACAAATTGTTGAAGTTATGGCCTCCAATCTGAAACAATTAAATTGTATCGACAAACTTTATTTTCAACATCAACTTATAATCTTACAAAATACAATAACAATTTTTTTTAAAGAAGATGCTCGAAAACACCACCTTGTTCTTCAATACATTTTTGGGCACGTTTTTCAACTGCACGAACTGTCTTAAGTATGGTCCTACCATCTATCTGGGTTATCTTTTCCCTAACTGCAGTCTTTAACGCGTCAAGGTTATCGTACCTTCGCTTGTAAATTTGGTTCTTTAAGTAACCCCACAAGAAGTAATCAAGTGGGTTTAGATCTGGGAGGCCACTGTATTGGGCCATTTGTTCATATCCACTGATCATTAAAAGTAGTACTTAGAAAATGATAAGTACCTCTGGAGTTGTGGGCAGGTGCGCCATCTTGCTGAAAATGCAGATGATGTCTACTTATAAGATCCAATTCGTCTAAGAAATTAGTCAGAATTTCTGACATAAATTCCACATATCTTTCACCAGTTAGGGTTCCCTCATAAAAGAACGGGCCAACAATTTTTCAACCAATTATACCGCACCAAACGTTGAAACTGAAACGGACTTGTGGGCCTCTTGGATGTACTAACAAAAGATTTTCTCTTGACCAATAATGGTGTTTTTTTCTATTAAACATTCCAGAATTTGAAAAATTTGATTCATCTGTCCATAAAAGGTAACGAAAGTTATTTACATTTTGGCGACAGAAGCTAAGATACCAATGGCAAAAAACAAGTCTTCTCTCTGGATCCCCTGCCAAAAGCGTTTGAACTGGTCGGTACTTATACGGAATAAATTTGTATTTTTTTAAAATCCTTTGAACAGTACCATAACTGAAATTAGAGTCCTTGAGAATATCTGCTATTGAATTCTCACGATAAGCTTCAAAATATCCAATAACTGCAATTTCCGTGGCCTCGCTTATTATGAATTCTTTTTTTGCCCTTGTTTTAGCAAAAACATTTTCGTTGCCCCTAAATTTTCGATAAAGTCTCAGAAAATATCGTTCATACGGTTGAATGCGAGCGGGATATAATTCACTGTAGTATTCTCTTGCTCTCAAGGAGGATTTTCTGCACACTAAATAGCATTCTAACATATCACACTTTTCTTCATGGGAGAACATTTTTCTTTAAATTAATGACACAATAAAGCTTATAAACAATTATTTACACTAATGTTTGACATTATTTGATTTTATCATTGTTTTCCAAAGCCTTCTAGTTGCGAGTATGTCCAGTTTAACAATTTGTCGCTTATCTTAATGCTGTCAAATCGCGAACGCCATGTTGTTTTCATAGCCGTCTTAATATTATAATACTGCAAATAATTAAAAATATTTATCGTTATTTTGACTTTATTTTTGACTTTAGCGGAAAAGTCATTATGAACTTTTTTGTTTAAAATTTGATGCTTTAACAGAAAAAAATATAATATACAGGGGTTTCCATTTAAAAAAATGTTATTTTACTGAAAAAAGTCAAAATAACGACTCTCAATTGTTTTTTTTTATTTCTCATTTTTACCAGCGTTAAAAATGCTACTAGTTTGCTAATTCAAACAACTTTGTATTTTCACTAATAACAAAGTTACTAATGGTGGACACTTAATTTGGATAACCCTGTATAGTCTAATCATATTAGACGATAATGGTTTGCGAAATATATAGCTGTAAAGTCTGGTTTTATTGCTGCAAGTTGTTCAAGAGGGGATTCAAAACATGGTTGCATGAAATGGGTGCACCAATTTTTGTGGGAAAACTTTTTATTCGACAACAAAGAATGAGAAAACGCGTTTTTTGAGATTCAATCGAAAGTGTTGGCAGGAACGAAAAAACACTTCGTATAAGATTTTTAGATATACATGACACCTACGAAATGAGATCACATGTAAAAAGATCCGAGTAATAGCAAAAAAGTTATGGCCGAAAACCGAGGCAAACTAGGTCATGCGACGATGGTTTCTCGCAGATATTTGAAACTCTTCAAATTCATGGAATTTGTACTTCTAAATAACCACAAACAAAATTGGAGTATATTGGTCAAGTAGTTTTTGAAAAGTTCTAATTGTTTATCCCAAAACACCTGTTTTCCTGCCATCACCACTAGTTTATTGAACAATATAGAGGGTTAGTTCAAAGGGAATTTTATAGCAAAATAGACTAGTTTACCTTGCCGATAGCCGATAGGAATCTCAAACCATTCCGGAAGACAAATATTGTTTTTATGCAAAAGGGATGGGTTACGTTTTTTTCTTCTACACAAATTCAAACATTTCGTATTTGTGAGTGATTCGCAACAAATGGTGATAGACACATCCGCTTTGTTTTAAAATGTGTATAGTAACGTATGTTTTTGAATATCGTAGCGCATTTGTTCAATTACTCACAAATACGAAATGTTGAATTTGTTGAGAAGAAAAAAAACGTAACCTTTGTTTTTCGCATAACAATAACATTTATCTTTCGGAATGGTTTGTGATTCATACTGGCAAGGTAAACACGTGTATTTTGCTATTAAATGCTCTTTGAGCGAACCTTGTATATTGCTCAATAAACTAGTAGTCATGGCCGAAAAACAGGTGTTTTGGGATAAATAATTACAAATTCTCAAAAAACTACTTGATCAGTATACTCTAATGTTGTTGTTGTTATTTACAAGTATGAATCCTACGGATTTGAAGAATTTGCGTGAAATTATCGTAGCATTACCAACAAGTGCCAAACCCTACATTTTGCCTGGTTTTTCGCACATAACATTTTTGCTATTAGTCGGATCTTTTTACGTGTGGTCTCATTTTGTAGGTCTCATAAATACGTAAAAATCTTATATAAAAAGTTTTTTCGTTCCTGTCAACACTTCCGATTGAATCCGAAAAAACACGTTTTCTCATTCTTTGTTGTGAAATAAATAGTTTTACCACAAACACTGGTGTACCCATTTTATGCGTCCATGTTTTAAATACCTCCTTGAACAACCAATAAAACCAGACATTACAATCATTTCTGGGAAATTTGTTAATACGAGTATGATTAGACTATGATGACTGTAGTATAAGACGATCTCCATTATTGTCGATCACGATCTCAGCCTTTAGCCCGTGATTTTGTTTGTCGCATCTCTACTATCGAGCCAACTGACAGTACGTTGACAGTTGACGTTAACCTTTCAACTGATTTTCCCGCCAACCTAATGTTTAGCAAACAGTGAATTCGTGTCACATTTTCTCATTTTTTATTTGAAATTTCCCTGATTTTTTTGTTTCCATTTTCAAGAATAAACTATAACAATGGATGTAGCGGATCTAAATGCCGGCCAAAGGCAACACAGGGACGAAATAGGTGTAAGGTGCCAAAAGCTTTTCCAAGATTTCCTCGAAGAGTAAGTTGAGCTTCCTTTGTTTCATAATTGCTTGAATTTATAAGTCTCTCGCAGTTCGATCTACACATAAATAGGCACTGTAGTCTGCCCAGATTCAATATCCACAGTGTATACATGTTATTGGAATCACTGTGGGACCATTTTAGCCAATGTAAAGTATTCCAGCATTGGTGCGCTTTATGCTGAATAGCAGTAGCTGTGGAATAGCTATGAAAGTTCGCAACAGTAACCATCATACTATTGAATCTGAAGGCCAAGGAAAAATTGCTGTCAAACTGGCAAAGTCATCCCATATTTCTACTGCTATCCAGCATAAAAGCGCTGTACCTCTTTACATTGGTTGAATGGTTCCAGTGATGAGCCCAGTCTATGAAGTTGCAAATTGATAAACATAAAACTTGAAGTGAAACTTTTTTAGATATAGGTTAGGTTAGGTCTCTTGTGAGTGTGTCCACTACAACTCTTTGGTCTATTGTGGCTCTTTTTAGATATAAGGAAGATGGGGAACTGAAATATTTAGAGCCAGCGCAAGAGCTCCATAATGAGGAAAGAAGCACTATTGAAATCAGCTTTGAAGATGTGGAGAAGTATAATCAAAACCTGGCAACCACTATTATTGAGGAATATTATAGGTGATTATGCTTCCATTACTTTTCTCTGTTCTAAATTATTTAACACTTTCCTATTCTTATCATCCAATATACAAATAGTCCAGAATGTATGAGTCAAAAAAGCCTAATCTACTGGAGTAATAACCAGTATGATCCAGATTGAAGATTTCTTGGAGAAAAGTTGACTGACCTAATACTTTTTTTAACTACAAACACAGAAATAGATCACAAATATGTGTCAAGACTGCAGCATGGTTGAGCAATTCAACATTATTATTACTGTTATAAGAGAGCAACATATCTGTATTTTTTGTATACAAATATATAATCACAAAATGAATGTAAAACACTTAAGGAATCAATTTCATATGTTTGATCCTTTAATATGCAAATTTACCCAAAATATAAAAAAATAATATATATATATATATATATATATCATCTTTATTGTATAAGTATTAAGGTTTCTTCAAAAATTCAAGACTCATTATCATCAACATAATAATACAGTACAAAGTGCCATCTATTTACAGAATCAACCACTGTGAGAGTGGAAATGGATGGCACTCTATGTTATCTCATTTTGATGGACATTAGACTCTCGAGAGAGAATATTTGCTTGGCTTGCTTGTTGTACATGACACCAATCCTAGGCCGTACTGATCAGTTGGCTGTCTGTGGTTTGATAAACAAAAGCTGTATTACTGCTTACTCATTAGGATATTCAGTAAAATACTCATGAGTGTGCTGACAAGTGCCTCTTCAGGTTCCTATACCTTACCTCTGTTTTTATTGGGGTCACTGTTTATTTTTTTGATTTTTTCATGGCTTTGTGGGATACAATTGATGAATCAGAAAACTATCCTTGGTGCCAGCTGAGTGACATTTTTGCTCCTTCTATTGAAATTATCAGTGGAATGCTTTTTTGAACTGAACCATTACAAGGATACAATTCTTTCTAGTCCAAGTCTGTGCATTTCTTGGCAGGCTTTAGTTGCAGGTGGCAGGTTCCTACATACGTGCTGCATACTTCTGCTATTAAGAAGGATTGTGAGGGACTAAAAGGCTTATTTAAATTTCAAGGAATATAATGATTTATTACAGTTTTGAATAAACCTTAAGACGTATTTTAATTTTAATTACATTTTAAATTAATGAAGCAGTGATTAAATATTTACTAATGAATGTTGAGACGTTCTCTTTCTTATCACCTAATATATTCGAAAATCAGTAAAAATACATTTCAGAGTATCAGATTTTCTAATTGCCACCTGAAGTATCTAATTTAGTAGTATCAGTGAGACCTTCCTATATATTAAGTATTTATGTTGTGGATTTTTAAATATGGTATAAAGCTGAATCATCTTATAAGAGGCAGTCTGACTAAAATGATTCAATGCCATTTCTTTTCTTAGGCTTGTTTTTCCAAAATATTTCACAAACACTAAAATTTTTGAATTTCCTGCAAATGATCTGCCAAAAAAGATATCCATTTGGAACATTGCACATAATGCAAGTCCACTATTAAAATTCTTTTAAAATTGCTGTTAATCTTTTTCAAGTTAGTGAATGTGACAGTCTTAATCTGTTGAAACAGTTCCATTTAGTTGGAGCAAATAAACATAAACCGTGTAAATATGGTATGGTAAATTGAACCTTATCTCTGCAGAATCTACCCCTTCCTGTGCCAAGCTGTATCAAACTTTGTGAAAGATAGAGCTGGACTCAAAAAAGAGAAGGAATGTTACATCAGTTTCATGGATGTTCCAACCAGACATGTAGTGAGGGAACTAAAGACAGACAAGATTGGCACATTGGTCAGGATTTCTGGCCAGGTGATCAGAACCCATCCTGTGCATCCTGAATTAGTATCAGGTACCTTCACATGCCTTGAGTGCCAGACTGTTATCAAGAATGTTGAGCAGCAGTTCAAGGTATACACTATTTCCTCAATTTTTAAAAGTCTTGCGCTAATATCCATTATCCAGTACTTACTACCCATAAGTGACAAGCCATTTAACCCCTTTGTGAAATTCAAATATAACAGAAGTGTTTTGAAAATCATTTAAAGTACCCATTCCTGTCAAATACCTCAACATTCTTCTTACCAATAATCTTTTGTCAAACAGACCTAACAAAGGTCATATTTGGTGATATACCACTCAGATTAATATGTAACTAGTAAGAAAAAAATCCTCTAGCCTAGGCAAAAATCCAGTTGTAGAAAAAACACCACGAACTTATACAAAAATCCACTCTATGAAAGTCGATACAGAAATGGAGAACTTTCGTGATATTCAGAATCGCATAAGTAATGACATACCAGCAATATAGACGAAATATAATCAGCCAGTGAAAAAATTATTGAAATCGGCCAATAAATGACAGAGAAATTGATACTTAATTTGGCGCATTATATCGCGAAATCATAGCTGCCGTTCGTTTACGTCGGACGTCACAGTTTTCTAGTGCCCAGCTTCTCGTCGCGTATGTGCTCGACAGCTCCTGTGCGTTGAGTCATTAGTCTACAGACAAATCATAAGACATACCTGTGCGCTCGGACACGTGGTTTCCAGTTGATAACTATTGAGTACTGCGTAAGTTCATACCATTATGGACGTCGCATGTGAAGGTACGTAGAAAAAATGTTTATTAGGGGTTGTAATTGTTGTGCCATACATTTTGGAACGGTACAGTTATAACAACATTTTTTTTCTTATTTCGCTCATAACCGATCGTATATGCAGTCAACTAATTAAACAAATTGGGGCGGAAGACGTTTAGCCTACCATGTGTCCCGCTGTATGTGTGCCTATGCATGTATTTAGGAGATTGAGTTGGCTCGGGCCCAGGAATCGGCCGCGGGCGTTGCAACTGGATATTGAAGTGTGACGTCACACGTAACGTACAGACGGAATAAAAATATTCTCGCAAGGCGCAACTTTGATGGTCTGTAAGGTTTTTGTTGTTAGAGATAAATTAATAATTTTTTCACCAACTTGTTTCATTTTCCCAAACTTTCATTTGAGCTATTAACAAAAAAAAAATGGTAAGCTTGTCCATTCGTAATTGGCAAAATCAGTTTGTTCATTACAATAAGTAAACATAACTTTTGTCTGTGAGTTTTAATTTGCAAACTTTTCTATTCACTAATAGGCATGTTAATACGCTTTATCCTCTTACTATTGCATGCCTCATAAATAGATTAGAATATACAAATGCAGCAAATTAATTTAAAATTTTGGTGTCTTAACAAGCAAAAGGCTATCAAAAAAAACACAAGAACAGAAAATACAGTAATACAGTAAAAAATATTGCAAGTTTGCAAAATTCCCCCAAAGCTGAAAATTGGTAACATACCTTAAGTACACCATTATGATGAATATATCAAAACTCCTTGAAACAGAACCTTGCTTTATTGGGGTGAAATATTTTGTCATTTCTCGAAAAGGGAAAGAGCTACCACAAAAATACCTTGTACAAAAATTGTACAATTATCAATAAAAGTACTTTTATTCCTTGAGTCACTGTTTATGAGATTGAGTCTGACGACTCTCGGGTATTCTTCTGCTCTTATGCAGGATATATTATATAGACGCCATCGACTGTTCGATATGAGGAGGCATTGTGTATATGAGTTATACTGAAATACATAACACTTATATGGGTTATTTAAAAAAGTGTGAGTGATTTTCCTAAAATGTTTTTCCATGAGCAACCAAAGGTTTGTATACAAAACAATTGAACCTGAAGTCCATGAAAACTGAAAAAATGTCGAAATGAAAATTGAACTACGCCATCCTGTAAAGGAGAATGAGTAACATTGACAAGATGCAATTCATTTTGAAATCTGATCTCAAATAATGTTAGGAAAACATAAAAGTGATTTTGGGATAAATCTGGTATGGGAAACAAATGACCATCTGGTTATTTCAAGGCTTACCTAGGAAAGTCTGTTATTTTTTTAAATAACTGTTATTTACAGTTACTAAGGTTTGGCAATGTCAATGTATGACGTATTTACATTTTTGGAATCGTTATAAAAAACTGAATTCATCTGTGCCTATGGCGTCCATAAGAAAAGATAAAGTTGATGCTGGAGGTGAAACGTCATATTGAAATTCTAATTATGCCTTCCTGTAGAGGAGAAAAAGTTTTTAGTGTTATTGTGGAATTTAGTTTGAGATCGCAGCCAGGAAAAGATTAAAATGATTTTGTGTATATGAGTTATACATACTAAAATACATACCACTTATATGGGTTGTTAAAAAAAGTGTCAGTTTTCAAAAATTTGTTTCCATGAGCAACCAAAAGTTTGTATACAAAACAATTAAACCGCAAATTCATGAAATCCGAAAAAAGAAGTTAATGTTAATATGGATCCATACCATTCAAACACATCCTCGTCTGCTTAAAGCGCGCTCAAAAAGATCAAAAAAAATTGTACCCACTTAAAAATTGTGTGATCTTTCAATATGTTATTACAATTAATATTCAAATATCCGCAACCTTTACTGTCCTTTGGTCTGCTGTTTCAAGTAATACAGGGAAATTCCCCTCCGCGGACACCCCTCTTACACGGACACCTTTAAACGGACAGTTTCTCATGGTCCCGACCGACTCTCCTATAATTTGCATTGTATTAACTCTCTCTTGGGACATTCTCTTGAACGGATGCGGACCCGAGAAAATGTTCTCCTAACCATCTTCGCTGGAACTTTGTCGAATAAACCGGGGATTCCCCTACTTTAATCATTATAATTCACTGAAATGAAGCGGTTAAGTCATATTTAAAATTTGAATGCCAACCTTAATGAAAAATAGACCCTAAATTGGTACCTACGTATAGTTTTAGTCTAAGATCCGAACTAAAATCGTCTTGCACCGATGTGTCAACCAGATGAAAATGACATTTCATCAAATGAAATGAGTGTTTGAAAATACTTTGATTAGGCATCCCTTTAAAAAGTGGTCATAGATATGTTTAATTAAAATTATAAAAAATTATTATTTTTTAAAATTTCGCCAGCGTGCCAACCATACAACAAACTCCAATGAAAAGTTTATAATGTACAACAAAATGCAGCTCCTCAGTTGCTTACCTTTTTCTGGTTCCTATTACCTGGCAGCTGCGTTCAAACAGGTAAGTCGATAATAGTGATTGCACTCTCCTGTCGACCAATCGAGACCAGTCTTAAAATTAAAACAATTTAATTACAAATTACGTAGTATATGGTTGCTTGAGAAAACCTGTTCATAGATAGTGGTTGTAAGACTTTAAAGTTGGTAAAATCGGGGCGAGCGAAATTATTAAACAGAGAGGCATTGCGCGTACTATTCCCCGCTATACACAAGGACGCAGTATTACAGCAGTGTGCAATGGCGCCGTAATCTGGAGGACGATTTTAGTTCGGATCCTCTACTAATTGAATTTCCCGATACATTTATGTTGGTAACAGTTTTCTGTTTTGTGTCATTGTCGCAAAGCTTGTCAGGTAATTACGTCAACGGCTGTTGTTTATTTTGGTTTATTTTCGTTCTTTTTGCCTCAATATTTGCATTGATATTCAATAAAAACAGTTTTTTTCAAAACTTTGAGATGTCCTTTTAAGCATTTTGCTTAAATGCCGAAACCTCTGGGTCGACAAGCAAAAGAATTCGTGATTTCTTTGACGAAATATTTTGAGACCGAACGAGATCATGAAGCTCCATTATTGCCTTTGCAGTATTAGGTAGAATTTATTCTTGCTCCAGCGTTTACAAAAAAAATACGCTCCGTGTTGGTTGCGGTAAGACATCGAAGACACAAAGGAGATTTTTAAAACGGCCTAGGATCTAGTAGTTTTAATTAATGTGGCAACCATGTGCGTCACTGTCATTATTTGACGTTGTGACGTAACTGCGTTGATTCAGTGAATAAACTATACAAACGCAGCCTATGTAGTGCATTTCTGCCCGACATGAATTAGGGACTTCCCTGAGTTGGTCGGGGATTTACCGTTGTTATTTTTTGGGTACACGCTTTCGATTAAATTTCCATTCCGTATTAGTTTGACGTCTATGCGGAAATGGGTACAAATTATGACAGAGTGGTTGTAAGACCTAGATTGGAAAATAGCTAAAGAAAAAAGAAACATGTTGTTATTTTTAGACAGTGCAGGATCTCATCCAAAAGACACTCGCTTAAATAATATTAAAATCTCTAAAGAGTCTTAAAACTTATTACCGAAGTAATAAAAAATTGTTCTCAGTTAAATAATCTCTTATTTGTTGGTCCAATATAATCTCGATAAGTTTTGATAGCACTGGTAAAATACTTATAGGACGAAGATCATTGTAGACACGAATTTCAGACTTCTTTGGTATTGGTACAATTTTGGCAATTTCCATGAGTCTGGTAATTCATCCAAAATATAAGAGTTTATTATATTTGTAACGTAAGGGATGATTTTATGGAAACACAATAAGATCATTTCAAGATTTAAACCATCAGCACCCATGGCAAGCGATTTAATTCTACTTCTCTTCAATAATATTATGCATTTGTACATACTTTGTATATATCTAAAGGTTCTTAAGTTTAAAGTTGTTTGCTTATTTTAAAAACATTTATATACCTATACGATTTAAATGTCCCAGTTTCTTTAATATGTTCAGTTTTCATTAAAAATACGATTTGTTGTATTTCTTTTATACGGACACCCCTCTTGAACGTACACTTTCAGTCGGTCCCGTTGGTGTCCGTTCAAAGGAGATTTCACTATATCAAATCTCCTATTGATAAATTCAACGCAGACGGACTTCCTATTTCTTACAATAATAATTAACGTGTTGGAGAAGTTTAAGCATTGCTTTATTATACAAACAAAACTAAACTTTTGCAAATTTTTATTTGTAAACACCCTGTATATCACAGTGGCGCTCCCAAGATTTCAGTCTGGGAGGGATAAAATGGAAAGTAAATTTTCAGTGTACTGAAGGGTTGTAATAATGATTTAACATTAAAAGCATGGACATATGCAGACATATGAATTTGTTACAGTAATTTCTGTAGAAAATACATACCATTTTTTTTAATTATCAATCATAAGAATTCAAAGTGTAAATAAAGCAAACCAAGCTCGAGCAATCTTCATATATTAAAACAAAAATGCAGAATAATATAATCTATCACGGACTTTTCTACATAACAATGTCAGACAAAACAACAAAAAATACATCTTGAAAAAAATAACAATAACAAATATGTTACGACTTCTATAAAGTATAAAACTGAATGTAAATAAAAATAAAATTCTTAATCATGAGGAAGACACAAAAAATATTCATTGCATAACAACATTCTCTGAGCCAGTCTCAAAAAACGAACATATAAACTATGAAACTACATCAGTTCACAGTCTCAAAATAAAAAATCATTACACTAGCTTAGAAAGTGACATTCTCGTCATTCGTGCTATTCTATTATAGGAGTCAATCTTTGCCGATTTTCTGATACTTGCTTAATTCGCTCTGAACCTATTATATTTCTTATATCATTCTCTGGATTTTCGTAAATCTTTCAAAAGTTTGTAGCATCTGGAACTACTTCTGTATGATAGATATTGAGTTCTCATGTGTCTCACAATCACTGGTTTTGCCGTACAATTTCTAAAATTTCTTGAGTGGTACGGTAACAAGTTTTCCCAATTTAGTTGATTTATGTACTCCTCCTCATTTTGCAAAAACCACGCAATAACGCAATATTTACAGAAAAGCCCTTGAAGTTACTCTGAATATGACAGTCAAGGAAATTTCTCAAAGTGTTTTTTTGATAAGTAACATTTCACTTCTTTATTATTTTTCAAGTGTGTATAATAGGGATATTTGAAAGAGTCATTAGGAATCATTGCATACTTCAATGAGGTATATTTTTCATGGGAAGACAAGTTGCCGCTGAAATTTACATATGGCGCAACATCAACAAAATTGGATCGGTTTCGCACCCGATTGTTCAACACTTAGTTCAGCATGCGGTGCAACATCAAAAAATTTTGAAGTGTAAGGCTCAGGTTGAATTATATTATCATCAGTTTTTTCCGGTGCCGGTGGATCAGACAGTTTGTTTTGTTTAGAAAGGAACCAATCGATGGTATTCTGTTTCCTTTTACTCATCCTGACAACAGCAGCCGTCAACCAGCACTAAAAGCTACACAAATTTTGTCAAATAAACGGCATTCTTGGTTTCCACGCATTCACGTATCTCATAACAAAGAACCCTTTCTGTTTGAAAAACAAGATTGCTTAAGTTCACGCAATTTTCAAAAACTAAATATATAATTTGCCATCTCGGACGAACGAAATGCACTGAAGTACTTATGTACAGGGGCCTCCGAGACAAAATAGACATAGATAATAATGATAGGTGGAGTATGGACCAAACACTTCGTAATTGAAATTATATTAAATTTCCATTTCTCGTCATTTTTTAGACACGATTCTTTTATAGTATAAAAATTAAAAACAAACAAAAATTAATTTTCTGGCTTATGCGTGAAAAATAAAAAATCAATAGAACATAGAAAAAGCGTTAATGCCGACCAGATCAACAAAACTCCGCTTGTTCACGTCTCAGCCAAATTTTATTGCGGACTCCGGACTGGTACAGAATTTAGACACTAGACTAGACCATAAAAGACTAGACTATACCTGTTCCTACAGGAAGAAGCGCACACCGTTGCTGTTGGTGGGAGAGTAGTCGCTAGTCGTATGCGCACTGAGCGGGTTGGCAGTGTTGCCGCTATCCTTTCTTAAAGTTACAGATTTTTTTATAAGACGTTTACTTTATAGCACCTTTTCAAAGACTGCTCGAGTCGCCTGGGGGGGGGGGTAATTACCCCCTTTACCCCGCCCCCCGTGGGAGCGCCAGTTCATAACAAACGATCTATAACATATACATAAAACATGCCGCGTATAAATCAAAGAACCATAAACAGCGACTCACAAAAGAGCAATCATCCAACTATTACAGACATGCATGCTCTACAATTCTTGTGTAAGGTATTTTGTAGTCAAACCGAGAAACATAAAAAATTGTAATTTTGACATGTAACCTCCAATAGAAAATTTTGCTCTCCAAGCAATTTTCAAGTGGGTACAAATTTTTTTCGAAAATACGACTCCCTTTCGTTCATTTTTGTTTGAATGGTACAAATCAATATTGTTAACTTCTTTTTTGAGTTTTCAGCATTTCGTATTCATTTGTTATATACAGTATACAGACCTTTGGTTGCTCATGGAATGAATTCTTAGATCACTGAGACTTTTGTTTTACGACATGTATTTTAGTATAAAGTCGCATACATCAGCGCTTCCACATATTATGCTCATATGGAACGGTCGATGACGCACGCATAATATATGTCTCATAAGAGCAGAAGAGAACCTGAGAGTCCACAGATCACTAAATCTCAAAAACGGGGATTCGAGGAATAGAAGTACTTGAACAACTCTTATAGATAATCGTATTCTCTACAATTTTTGTCAAAGGAATATGAAAAATGATATTTTTGACATTTTAACCCAAATATAACAAGTTTGCGTTCCAAGGATGTATGAGAAGTTTTGATATATTATTTATAATGGTGGAATTTTTGTAAACTTAATTTTTATTTTGACTGGAGAACAAACCTTTCTTTCTCTATACTAAACCAATAAAATGTATAGAAAATACTTCTGTACCTATATTTCTGTTAAATAATATGGTTCTGTTCTAGTTTACTCAACCAACAATATGCAGAAATCCGGTATGTAACAATAGGAGGAGGTTTTTGCTGAACGTGGACAAATCACAATTTATAGACTTCCAAAAAGTGCGAATTCAGGAAACACAAGCAGAATTGCCCAGAGGTTGTGTGCCAAGAAGTGTTGAAGTCATCCTGCGGGCGGAAAACGTTGAAACTGTCCAGGTATGTCATATTTTGTATTTTGTAAACTATATTTAATACTAAGTACTAATATTGGACAGGCAGTCCCTCCTATTGGACCTTTTTTTATTTTATATTTATAGTATTTACTCATGTTGTTTTCTTGGTTCATTGAGTTAATAAATATTACATTATTAGTATCTAAGATTGATCATGTGCTCATCTCAATTTGATACCATTTGCCTCTCCATTTGATGGAACTTTGTTAATCTGGCTGCATGTGCAGCTTTGTATGTGTCCAAAATATGGGAAAATTTAACCTAACCGTTTGTTTCTAATCTGAATAATGTTCGAATCAATACTAGGAATATTTGTTTTTTAGGCTGGAGACAGGTATGACTTCACAGGCACCCTAATTGTAGTGCCAGACGTGGGTGCTATAGCAATGCCAGGTGCAAAAGCAACCATCAACTCTAGACATCAGCGTCCTGACGAGGCTGAAGGTGTCAGAGGTCTAAAAGCTCTTGGTAAGTACAACTAACATATTTTCTGTAACCACATGGTTATTATTGTTGATGTTAACCATTAGGTAGCGCCTGTCGTCTATCAGAGATTTTTGTACTCCAGCATCGATCGATGTTGGTTCGATGTTAGTAGCACAGTTATGAAAAAAAAAAAGGAAAATACTCAAAATTCTTTTTCTTCTTCCTGATGATTTCTGGGCTTAGGCAAAACAAATTCCGAAAAATTTCAAACGTTTATAGCAAGTTCCTTCTAGATTATTTTAGGACGTGGTAAAAAAGATCATCGCCTCATTTTCTTAGCTTTGCCGTGCGTGATGCTAGGCGAAATCTGGCAACACCGTCGTTTTTGTACGCAGAAATGTGAGTTGAGTGAAGTATATGGGGAAGGGTATATAAGCATTCAACATGTCCTCAAATGCTGACGCGAGCTCTCTGACGGCTTCACGGACATCCACGATGAACAACGAAGCGGGAGGCCGTCGATCTCCAAGAAATTTCTGAGGCTTTTGGAAAAGCTGAGCCGAGCAATCCAAAATCGTCGTAGGAAAAACTCACTAAAGCGTAAGACTGCACCACGACAATTTGCATCCTCATGTCTCGCAGCAAACAAAGGACTGAATCGAGCGGTTTGGCTGGGAAGTCATTGCCCATCCCCCTTACAGCACTGACATAGCGTTTCCGAAATTGAAGGAGCACCTAAGCGGTCAATTTTCTTAAGGCGGTAAACCAAATGTGGATTACAGGTCCAAAAAAATATGTAGAAAAAATGGCGACTATGTAGAAAAAGACCAACATTTCGTTTTTTTCAAATAAAAAATTCGCTGTGCCTGCAAAAAATATGGGAACCCTATGTTTGAAATAACCCTCGTATTATACAGTAGTAACAAATCGTCGTTGTTTTGACGAAAAGTCCTGTGTGTTTAGAAGCAGTTTTTACAGAATGACATAAAAACCCTTTAAATTTAAAAAATTGGGTTCGTTTCCATTCACACGGATTTTTAGTAAATCTCTCCAGAATTACTAGAGTTTCTTATTATGAAACTCTTGTACATCAAATCACGGAGCTCATATTTGTCTATACAGATATTCAGAAAGCTCCAGTGTGAAAAGAGTGTTACATAAGAGGTTTCATCATAACGACTAAACATACAATATACATATTTGGTATTTCGTAAAAGTTACATAATAAGCTCAGATCCCATAACACTTTGCCCTATTCTTATAAGCCCATAGTTCAAATACAGAGTGCGGCAGTATAACTTCGTTGCTCAAAATACGCTTTTGAGGCCTCTTTTTGAGCGGATGTTCTGTGATCGCATGATCGCAACCCGGCGAATCGGTTTAATTTAGCCCCGTGGACCCCTGCCCGGACCGGAAATCCATTGTTACGTGAGTCACTACGTTCAGACAAACTGCAAGTGCGACAAGACGATATGGAGTCTCTCGGTCCATTAGATCACCTGAAAACATTGAGGCAGTGTGAGAACTTCAATGTAGTAATCACCACGGCGTTCTGCGCGCAAACATGCGCCTGGCCTTGGACTTTCCGATCGTTTGTTGAAGAGTATTCTTCATGATGATCTTCATTTCCATCCGTACGAGGTGGCAATTGTGCAGAAACTTTCTGAACGTATCTTCAATCCTCGGATGAACGCGTATGAGCGTTTTCTCGAAGTCGTTCCTGTGGCGCAATTTTTTTTTTTTTTTAGTGATGAATCCCATTGACATATATGAGGATCCGTAAATTCAAACATACACTCTACTGGGTTGACACCAATTCTAGAGATTTGTATCAAAGGCCTGGTTTTGAATTCACCTAAAATCACAGTGTGATGTGAAATTTCGTCAGCTGGAATTGTTAGTCCCTGTTTCTGTGAGGAAAATGTAGCCGCAGTGACAGTAAATTCGAACCTGTATGTAGACATGTTACAGGATTTTTTCTATGACTAGATCGTTTGGACTTAGGGGACAGTTGGTTCCAAGATGATGGAACAGCACACACTTAAAGAGCATCGATGGCTGTTTTGAGGGGACACTTCCCAGAGCGCATCATCTCAATTAGGACAGATTAGGCCACTTGTGATTTTTTTATGTTTTTTTTAAATCCCGTGTTTATGTTAACCGTCCAATGACTCTACAAAATTTGAAGACCAACATGCAGGAAGAAATCGCCAACATAACGCCTACTGTGTTGGCAAGAGTCATTATAAATGCCAGAAATCGGTTTATTTAGAGTATGGAGAATGAGGGACGTCACATAACTGATTTGATCTTCAAAATTATGCAATCAAAACTTTAGGCATGCGCCCACATTATAAAAACAAATAAAAATGTTCTGATTCATACAATGGGTTTTGTAAAGTTTTGAAAAAAGAAGCTATGCTATCGCACCCTGTGTATAAAAGTTTATTAACCAAGAATTATGCTAATCTGAGGTTCACTACCCCCGTCTTACTGTAAATGCGTTTAATTTCAGTGTGTAGATAGGTAATTTGCTACAGTTTTAACTGGCTACATGGTCAATATCACCTTCAATTATAAATTCTGATGGATCACAGTAAATGTCGATCGTGTCACACTCGCGTTGGTGACATATCCAACTTAATGTTGGCACTTTACTATTGTCAGCAGGCGAGTCAAAATAAAGCCAAAGCAACCGCATGACTGAACTGAGTTTTAATACTTTTGTAATGGACTGGGGACAGGCACTACTAGTCTATCGTCTTTCCTTGTTAACGAACTTTGATATAAACTGCTTTTGAACGATTTATTTATTGTGGTAAATAAATTGTTGTGAAGTCTTATCATAAAAGAGATAGTGACAAATCTCCAAATAATCCTGTATTACATATTTGCATCCATAGCCCGCACATATAGCCTCTATTTCTTATTTTTTTTCTACTAAATATGATATCATTGTTTCCAGGTGTTCGTGATATGCACTACCGAATGGCTTTCCTGGCATGTAGCGTCCAACCTACAATTCCAAAATTCGGTGGTCTCGAAATCGGCCCTGGAGACATGACACCCGATGAGATGAAGAAGCATATGACGGACAGCGAGTGGAAGCACATGTACGAAATGTCGCACGATAAGAATCTCTACCATAACATGATTGGCAGTTTGTTTCCCAGCATACATGGAAACGAGGAGGTAGGTTAATGACGCTTTTATCGCTCAAGACAGACTCCAGAGAGTCTTTTTAACTAATAAAATATATTCTTTGATAGTCAATACTCATTTCATTAGGTACTGTGGCGTCAAACATGTTAAAATGGTTTCTAATTAATATAACAATCAAAGTTCACATTATAATATGCATAGTAGTGAATACAAACTCAGCGCAACTTTTATTATTGAAGTCGAAAGATACAAATAAGTGCTAATATCTCACGGCAGTTGCGGTAGATATTTTTAATTATTGATTGACATATATTCCACCAGAAGGTACCTAACTGAATTGAAAGTCATGTCAGCGTGACAATCAGCGTACATGCCGTGGCGGAGCCAACCACTTATGCTTACAACTATATCACCATCTTTAGGTGTCAGTGTTGCCACCTCTCGGACTATTAAACAGTTTATGGGATTTCCTTTTCCGTCGTTGAGAAATTCGGAGAATTCGAAACCTTAGAAATAATAAAGAGGTATGTTGAGAGGTGATCCTTCTTAGCAAGATTGATGGCATGTTTAAGAACAAACAATTTTCTTGAAAGAGAAAATGAAATCTGTATCTATAACTTCTAATGGAGATAGTGCAATTTTACCTGGCAGCATGGTGAGACGATGAAGATTGTGATCATCCAAATTGTGGAGATCTTTTTGGAAAACATGCTAATCAATGTTTTATCTCCTCTAGAGTAGTCACAGTACTACAGTATTTAGACTATGGATTACCAGCTGCTCCATTATAAAAATGCGTCCTGTACTTACATGTTGAGTTATGTTCATATCCCTCGGGGGTCGGGGGGGGAATACTACTTCTGAGGAAGGTACTCTGAGGCTTCTGATGGATACGCACTTTCCCGGTTCTACAGTAGCGCGATCAATCACATGCAGTTGCGCAGGCCCTCAAGGGAGGACTGGCGCACGGCTAGGGAGATTGTCACCTTCGAAAGGACGGTATGGGCAGTAGATTCGTTTGCTCCATACAAGAGTCCAGGTCTGGACGGCGTATTTCCGGCCATGTTACAGCAGGGACGGATTTCGGTTGTTCCTTACCTGTTGAATGTGTTTCGAGCATGTGTGGCCACGGGCTTCACACCTAGAAGCTGGCGGCAGGCTAAAGTGGTATTCATTCCTAAACCGGGCAGAGATAGATATACTGGCCCGAAGGATTTTCTTTCATCTTTTGTGCTTAAGACACTGTGGTGTATCGTGGTGAACGAACTCCTCGTTAGGCTCAGCAGTATGGGTGTCTTCGCGCAAGCCTATGCTGATGACGTAAGCATAGTAGTTAGGGGGCGTTTTTGTAGCACAGTCTCGGAAATTATGCAGGGCGTTCTGCGCTCCGTGGAATCGTGGTGTAGGGAAGTCGATCTTTCTGTTAATGCTGAAAAGACCGAGCTGATCCTATTCACTAGGAGAAGAAGGCTTGACGGGCTGGTCATGCCGACCTTCTTTGGGACTAGATTCGTTTTGTCCCAGTCAGTGAAATATCTGGGAATTATCCTGGATTGCAAACTGGACTGGAGAGAGCATGTGGAATACAAGGTTAGCAAGGCTCGCAATTCGATGTGGGCTTGTAGACGTGTTGTCGGGATAAGGTGGGGGCTTAAACCCAAAGTGGTATACTGGCTCTACACGACGATAGTACGTGCATCTCTCTTGTACGGCTCCCTGGTCTGTTGGCCTTGCATTAGAACTGAGACAACTAAGGCCAAACTCAATAAAATTCAGCGTTTGGCCTGTATTAGCATTACAAGCGCAGTGAGAACAACACCATTGAGTGCAATGGAAGCTCTGTTGGATCTCCCCCCGTTGGATCTGGTGATCCGCGGTGAAGCGAGAGTAGTCGCTCATCGACTGTGGAGTCAGGGCAGCTGGGCTTTCTTGAATCCTGTCAACGGGCATACTGCCATCTTAGTGGAATTAGAAAGGGAGGACCCCGTCCTTCTAAGCAGGGATGATTGTATTACCCCTAAATGTCGCTTCAACCGCAAGTTTATTGTGGAGTATCCAACGAGGGAGGAGTGGGACGCCGGTAGCCGGGGACTCTCCGAAGTGAGCGGGCAGGTCTGGTACACGGACGGCTCGGTCACCGAAGAGAGCTCAGGTGCTGGGGTCTCTGAGCCTAGAACTAGGCTATCTCTGCCTCTCGGTGGATACATCACCATTTTCCAGGCGGAAATCTTTGCGATTCTGGCTTGTGTATCTCACATTCTGGAGGAGGGTGGGCCTAGGAGAAGAATAACAATCTTATCCGATAGCCAGGCTGCAATGAAAGCACTAAGTGCCTGTAAGATTACTTCGAGTCTTGTATTGCAATGCAGGGAGGCTCTGGATTGCCTCGCAGCGCGGTATCCGGTATCGTTAATATGGGTACCGGGGCACGCTGGAATAAGGGGCAATGAGACGGCGGACACTCTGGCGAAAACAGGATCAGGCAGCAAGCTCGTTGGTCCTGAGCCAGCTCTAGGAGTGACCGCGCATAAAGCTAGGAGAAAAATGGAGACGTGGGTTGCAAGACAACACTCTCAGAAATGGAGAAGTATCTCTAGACATCTCCGCCAGGCACGAGAGCTCATTGAAGGGCCCAGTGCTGAGGATGGACGCTTCTGCCTATCTCTGGATAGAGCCAACCCAAGGTTGCTGGTGGGTCTATTGTCTGGCCATAACACGTTAAGGCGTCACCTGCACGTGATGGGGGTGGCTGAGGATCCCTTGTACGAACGATGCGGAGTAGAGGAAGAGACCTCGGCGCACGTTTTGTGTCGCTGTGAAGCTCTGAGCTACTATAGGCAGATTATACTGGGGTCCATTACTTTGGACCCTCAGGACGTCAAGGAGCTTGGACTCAAGGCGATTCTCAACTTCGCTAAAACGGCGAGGCTTCTGATTTAAGGATTGTAGAGGTGCATAAGGGCCCGCTTAAGCGGCCTATGCACTGGCTCTTTATGGTGGCCGGGATGCCTCTAATTTTAAGATTCATTCATGTTCGTATTGTCAACATTGCCAATATACCCTGCGTTTTTCCTCAAGATGCAAAACAATCCCTTATCTTCCGAATCCAATAACCCCTTGCGGACTGAGTTTAGAAGCCTGCGTATCCAAACAAGTGTTTTTTGTCATGTTGTGAAGTCTAATTTTATGTTAGAACGCAATTTTTTGGAATTAGATTTTACACATATAGTTGCAGTTACCAATGCTCCAAGAAACAACTTTGATTACCCTTTTGTTGTGCCTAATAAAAATGTGTACAAACCGAGATAAAACAATGAATCGTTTTTAGCTGTTGTATGAATTCGAACCACTCTATTTGATATACTAAGTGACATATAAATCCGAACACCCAGTTTAAATGGTTTTATTTTAATAAAATTTTGTATAAGTACTTAATGAAGCATAGTAAGTAAATGATAAAAATTTCAAAATGATTGCACTGCTTTAAAGCCCTTTGACCTTTAATAATGTGTGGATGCACCCTGATGTGCTACGCATTCTCCAACGCGCCTAGGCATGCTTCTGATCAGGTGGTCAATGTCCTCCTGTGGTATCTCATTCCAGGCAACCACCAACTCCTCTCGAAGTGCTTCTAGAGTCTGAGGAGGACGTTGCAAATTGAGCAATCTCCTACCCATCATATCCCACACGTGCTCAATTGGGGATAAGTCGGGAGATCTTGGTGGCCATGGTAACAATGTGACATCATTATGTTGAAAGAAGTCTATTGTGACTCTTGCAACATGTGGTCGGGCATTATCTTGTTGGAAAGTTGGATCTGCCAGGGTGTCAAGATAGGGTGAAAGATGGGGTTCTAGAACTTCGTGGATATAACGCTGCGCGTTCATGTTACCTCTGATGAAGATTAAAGGTGACCTGGAACCATAAGCTATAGCACCCCAAACCATAACTCCAACAGTGTGATGAACATGTCTTTCAACAAAAAACTGTGGATTCCTCCTTTCACCACGTCGCCTTCTAACCCTGGCACGACCATCGTGCATGCCTAAACAAAATCGAGACTCGTCACTAAAGACAATGCTGTTGCATTCCTGATCCCAGAGTGACCGTTGTCTGCACCACTCAAGGCGATTACGTCGGTGTTCTCGAGTTAAAGGGAGGACCCAGTGTGGCCGGTATGAAAACAAGCCAAAACGTCTCATTCGTCGGTAAACACTTCGCATGCCAATAGGTCTTCCGTGTTCTACAAACCATTCATTTGCAATGGACCTGGTAGTGGAGAAACGGTCCCTTAAGGCCAATAATCTTAGGCGGCGATCTTCACGGTCTGTTGTTCTACGGCGGCGTCCAGTGCCCCTTGCTCTTTGCGTACGGCCTTTTCGAAGCCATGCCTGACAACACCTAACCACACTTCTTTGCACTCTAACTGCAATTGCCCGAAAAGAAAGTCCAGCTTCCCGAAGTCCCACTATACGGCCCAAACTCACTAAGTTGACGAAATCGTACAGGTCTCCGTACTCTAGGCATCGTAACCGATCGTAAAGGATGTCAAGAACCAAAATCCGCCAACGTTGATTCTTTACTGCGGTTGAAATATTCATTTTTAGAGCGTTAGTGAATTAAAAAAAAGCAGTATAAAAACCGGAATGTCCAACTGATAAGGCTTTCACTTGTTATTTACAGTAAGATAAATACATTCACCAACTTTTATTAAAATAAAACCATTTAAACTGGGTGTTCGGATTTATATGTCACTTAGTATATTTTTTATCCATTTCAGGTAAAGAAGGGGATTCTGCTGATGTTGTTTGGTGGAGTATCGAAGACAACAACAGAAGGAACATCACTGCGTGGAGATATAAACTGCTGTATTGTAGGCGATCCCAGTACTGCAAAAAGCCAATTTTTGAAACAAGTTTCAGAGTTTTCACCAAGAGCCGTTTATACTTCAGGTTCGTTCTATATAACACTTTAATATCTTATAGAAGGCCTTCAATTGTTTCTTCTTTGCAATCTTTGGAAGCTATTGATGGAAATACGTTTACTTTGAAACATTTTTGAGACCTCTGGAGATTGAAAAACATCTCCGTCAGGCGAAGGAAAAATTCATATGAATCCTGTGGCAAAAGCCGGCGATGACTTATGTAGGGCTAGAATCGTGTACTAAAAATATAGGCTTATCAGTACCAGTTGTGCTGGTGGTGGGGAGGCGAATTCTGCAACTGGGCCACCTCTAACCCGTTTTGCCGATCCAGTTTTATCAACACAGTGCTATTCTACATCTATATCTAATGATTTTCAGTAAATCATCTCCAGCGATGCGATGTATCTATTTTATTTGCACCGATCTGGTGCGTACATGTACCGGTTGGCCCAATAATAAAGGATGCCGGCTATATATCTGCAGTGGTCATCCATAAAATGCTATCTATTGGTCGCAGAGTGAACTAATTTAACAATATTGAACTTTTGGTAGGAGCGCAGGTGCAACTCGTTTGAATGAAAACAAGATCATGAAAATCGGTGCAGCCAAACAGAAGATATATTACTTTTTTCTGAAATGGCATTCAACCCTTCCCCACTCCAAACGAAACAAAATATGGGAAAATGACATTGAGAAGAAGGTTCGAAAATTGAGGATTAACATAACAGGGTTATTAAATCAGTACTTAAACTATGCATTTTTGCGAAATAATTGCGTTTGAATTTTTGAAATTGAATATACGCCCGTTCTTCTAGGAAGCTAACAATAATTTCCAGCAATTTCTCTAGGCCCCTTTTGTTATGAAAGTTTTTAACGGATGGCTCAAGGTCAAGCTGTTGCTAAGATATAGCCTGCGTCCTTTATTATTAGGTCACCCGATGCAGACAAACACAACATGGCTCGAAAATGTAACTTTTGAAGCTGGGATTCGACCCTTTGAGCCAATGTGCTAGCGGTTGACACTGTAACACATCTGGCTCTCGGCCCCCTAAGAGGGAAGTTATGCTATATAGTTTGTAGATTTGGAATCTTAGTTCCTTTACATTCTCTACTCTAATTAAAGGAAATACGTTTTTTTCTCATTCATTTAATACAAACCAAAAAAGATTCCACGATCTTTGAAACCTCATGACCCACAGTTTATGTATGTCTTTTAACTTTTGTTTTACATTTTAGGGAAGGCTTCATCAGCTGCTGGCTTGACAGCTGCAGTTGTAAGAGATGAAGAAACCTCCGACTTTGTTATAGAAGCTGGAGCACTCATGTTAGCAGACAATGGAGTTTGCTGTATCGACGAATTTGATAAAATGGACCAACGTGATCAGGTATTGTAAGACTTATTCAGTAGTTGGCAATATACTTCATATGATCTTACGACTGTCAATAACAAGCCTTAAAGGAGCGTTCAATTCTACTTTCCAATTCGTTGATGCTTTCCTGTCACGAAACTAAATGGAAAATTGAACTGTCGATACGCACTAATACAAAAGTAGAACATTCATGTGAGTCTGTCACTTCATGTTTGAAAAGTGTGAAATGGTATTATGATAGTGACAAAAGCTTATCATTTGAATAAGTTTGCCGCATCTTCCTCTAAACATGCAGATTAGTGTCATGACAGATCGAGCAGAGGGTATTCATTTGTGCTTTACAAGCAAAAATTCTGAAAATGTTCGTCTTCATTAACAGGAAAACTAGAGCGCTTATAAATGTGTTTGAAAGAATTAGGAATGGGCTTAACTGTAATAACTTATCTGCACAATTATTCATACATATTTCTGCATTTGGTAACAGGTAGCAATCCACGAAGCCATGGAACAACAGACAATTTCGATAGCTAAGGCTGGTGTGAGAGCCACGCTAAATGCCAGAACTTCAATCCTGGCCGCAGCCAATCCCATTGGTGGTCGATATGACAGGGCTAAGTCGCTACAGCAGAACATACAACTGTCGGCTCCTATCATGTCCAGATTCGATTTGTTCTTCATATTGGTGGATGAGTGTAACGAAGTTACTGATTATGCAATTGGTATGAAAATTTGTTTCTTTGTTATTTATAGGATTTTTTTACGTTTTTTAATGTTATATAGTGAAAATAATCATTTCTATCTGTCAGTTTTTTATTTTTATCATACTGAATCAGTTGCTATAAAAATGTAGGAGACAGCGATTATGCCTCAAACAAGTTTTGGATCGCATAACATTGGAAAGTCTCTTCTGAGACAAACGAGTGGCCTTTCCTCCACAGAGAAAGCCTGGCGCGGTATGGTAGAAGCAGAAACCTAGCTAGCCGGTCGACTAGGCCTAGAAGACCGAGGCATCAACATGGGGCTCAGTAAAAACGCCCGTTGACATATCGGTAGATGAGTCAGATCTCCAACCTTTCGTCGATGAAAAAGGCATGGAACCATCTGTTGAGTAAGTAGTACCGATCAGTCGGATGAACCTTCTCAAGCATGATCAGACTAGCAGCACTCCAGACTTGTCAACTGTCCAAGCCATATCTTATCCTGGAGTTTTTACAAAGCGAATGAAATAGCTTTTTAACCAGCAGCTGCTTCATTTGACGAGACGTGTCAGTCAATTTCTTCGTTAAATGATGTGAACTCTGCCAAGCTAAAATGAGTGGCAATGCTCGGCGATCAATATAAATCGCATGTGCGTTTTTTTTAAGAGAGTGGCAACTTCCAGGAGTTTGATCAGAGAGGAAGTTGCCACCACCTTTCTTCTCTCCATACTCAGTCACAGAAAATGCTCAATAAATCTGATGGTCTGCATCAGAGTGTTGTCATCTGCGAAACTGAGGCCTGGATTTATTGGAAAGACAATCATTTATCTGTGATAGAAACAATATTAGGGTTAAAAGTGTTGGAGCCGATGTCTGTGGTGTACACCTGTGTTAACATTGTGCTATATATTATATATGTATAATAACTACTCGTATATACGAGTATTTCTACGGGGCAGTAAAATCACTCCCACTGATATTTGTCAGCCCAGTGGATTTCACGCTCAACCCACGGCAGCACATTCTTAGTTCACCGCGCACCAGTAAAACGGAAAACTGACGGCGCGCGCTTCAGCCAGCAGTACAGGCTCGAACTATGTTTTAAGCGGACAAATCATTGCAGCAGGCTTGTGCGCTGTTCACTATTTAATTGTTTAATTACTCCGTGGATTAAACAGATTCTGTATATGTACGACTGTTTTGAGTCAGATCAGGAGTCTTTCAAATAATTGCTCAGAAAAAGTTTTGATGTCCATGTTCCTATGGCAAAATGTAGTTAAATAAAGATACCGGCAAGGCGAATAAAATTGGAGAGAAATAGATGACTTCAAAAACATGACGTCCACAAAACAGCTGACATCGTCTAAACACGGCTATCTATAGTGTATTTACACCCAAGATAGAATGGATGCGTGATTGCCAAAAGCAAGGACGGCGTACAGGGCCGTATTCAGGGCTACCTCCGAATGATGGACTACCACCAACGTGTTGTAAAACAAAGATGACAGTATTTAACAGAAACTTAACAAATTACTCAAATACACTTAACAACAACAACAGCAACAACCAAGCAAGGTGAATAAGAAAACACGAGCACGCAGTGATACACGCGACGGACGGTGGCCTGAGTGCAACTCTGCCTGCCCTGCCCCTGCCCCGCACATTATTCCGCCAGGCGACCGCTTGAAATTTAATGGCGAATTGGCCAATAAGAGGCGTTGTCCCCACCTGTTACCGAGAGATCACGCGCTATTTACATCTAATCTTGAATTTGGATTCAGTTTAGGCAGCCCTAAGACGATGTATTTATTTATTTCGTATGACTTTTATGCCAGCTTGGCAACACTGCCTCGGTAGCATATAAATCGCTGTTTGCTGTTTAGCATCAAAATAGGTAAAATTTAACTAGTTTTTATCGTATCATATCAGTATGCGACGATGTAACAAAACAAATTCACGATAGTCTTCCATACTATAATGCAGATGACTCCCAAGGCTATTGGGACGGACCGGCGGATTATAAAGGCATTCTACCAAGTGACTTCTCTTAATATAAGTATTCTTTGTCTATAGTTCGGTAGTTGCCACTCGGATATATTAATATCCGACTGGAACTTTAACAAACAATGTTTGTCAAATGCTTTCACTGATAGTGGCGGAGGAATTAGTAAAAAAAAATGAGAACGTCGTTAAAACTTAATTTTTCGTTGTTTTCGCAGTTGCTTATCATTTTTGAGCTTGGTATAAAAGATTTTTAGCGGCCAACACCTGAAAATTTAAATTGAAGATTCACTTTTTGGAATTTTTCTACTTTCGGACAATCGCAGGGAATAGTGACAAGAGCTTCTTCTTTAACCAGACATGACTTTTGTAGTTGCAGATACTACTAACAACGCTTAAAATTTCTGTATACCTAGAATGTACCTGAACTGTGTTTGATCAAAACTGATTGCCTGATTTGCAAAAACGGTGAATGTGCCGATTGTAGTTCCATACCAAAAACTCGGAGAATCGGTATACTAAAATAAATATTTCGTTAAAATACCTTATAGAAAGGCCATGTTGATCGTGACCATGATCCTTACAAGGTTTCGAAGCCAGCTGATTTTTAATATGTTAATGCTGGAATAGATCTGGCACGAGCTGCTCAAGAATTCAGAAAACTTAATCGGACAGGTAGCTTTTCAAGGGCAGAGAAAACTCGTGGTTGTATCATTGTCTTGATGATTACGTTTACAAGAGCAAGAAAATGGGCTCTAATGTGAACTTCATGTTATCCTTTTTGATTGACTATTAAAGTTTTCTTGTTTTGGGCTGCTTGCGATATATCGAATGTTTTGAGTCAACTTTTTCGAATGATAACCAAACTCCAGTATCATGGAGAGCATGCAAAAAACCACATATTCCTAGGATTCGGACGCCAGATTTACATCTACAGTAATACTTTTTGATAAGATATCCATAGTCGACAATTTACTGGGCTTTAAAAATGTGAGTAAATCCCTTTTACGGATACCTTCTACCGCGTCTAATGCTAGACCGGCCTCTTGTGCCGTTGCTAACAGCTAATTCGCTAATCTACCTTCTATAATAATCGGAGGATGGCACCTATCAATAAGAGAATAAGCTATTTTATATAGGTTCCTAGATTTGGTACATGCAGTATTTGAAAAACTCTCGAACTACCCATCTTGTCTTTGTAACTAAACGAGATTCATTAGCTAATTCCGTGGACAGCTGTCATTGATGTCCTCTTAGAGGTGAAAGCATTTTCCAATTTATACCCAGCTGATGTAGACATACATTGATCGGTATACTGTATTTAATACAAGTACGTCTTGGAAAGTTTAGAATTCTTGATTAAAAGTCCTTTTCGTCGGCGATCTAGACATTGGGGTGTGGAGTGTTGGTAAACCATAGAAAAGGAGTCCTTAGTAATCTGGATCTGATTTAACATTTTTGAAATGTAAATATTTGGATAAGGAAATCCTAAGCGTTGCATTCAATCGATAATACAAAAGCATTAAAAGTAAAATATAAACTGTGCCCTTGAAAAGCTAACAGTCTTAAGTTTCGTGAATTCTCGAATAACTCGTGCCAGATCTACACCAGCATAAACATATAATAATCAACTTGCCCTGAAACTGACATTATAATCATCACGGTCACGTACAACATGACACCTCCTAACACCTTCGTACAAGGTGTTTTAATGAAATATTTCTTTTAGTATACTGATTCGCAGTTTTTGGTCTGAGAACTATAATCGTCACATTCACCATTTTCGCAAATCAGGCAAACTTTATCTGCCCATTTCTCAAAAACTAATCATAGGATTGCTTTGGTCCCGTGAACACTTTTGTTCGGGAAGGCAAGACATACATCATACTGAATGTTTAGACAAATCGACTGGGATCCATTTTCCATGTGTTTTGGTCCTTTGCAAAATTCGATTTTCATTTTCGTTTGTGGAAAATGCGTACTCGTAAATATAGATACTAATGAGTGAGAAATACCGAGCCAACTTACTTGAACTATTTTTTATTCAGTTTATATGGTTCTTAAAAAAAGTTGAAATTCCGTCGTTTGGTAAAAATTCCGTGGCAGATTAAACAAATAAATTGAAGTTACCAGAGATTTCATGTAGCTGAAGTGCTTACTGATGAATTTATCCATTGTACAGGGTGCGGCAGAGAGGACGGACGTTTTTGGGATGGGTAGTACTCTCCGCCTCCGTCTACGAGAGAGGTGGGGAGGGTGCCGTTTGACTCGTGAGATCCTAGCATTATTTTACCAGTTGTCGTTATGGACGGTGGAGCACCGCGTTTTCGCCTATGATTGTTTCGTCCGAAATAATGAGTCAGTCATAGTCGTACAGCGTGAGTTTCGTCGCCACTTCAACATTCATCGGAAACACCTCTCACATTCTCTCGAAACACCATCCTCCGTTGGGTTGAATCACTTCGCAGGCGTGGTGAACTAATCAACAGAGGACCAAGAGGAGCGCCGCGAACAGTTCGAACTCCTGAAAATGTTGAACGCGTTCGACAGGTCTTTCTTCGCTGTCCGACTCGATCTGCCCGGAAACATGATGCTGCACTTCGCCTTAGTGATCGTTCGGTAAGGCGAAACTCTGGACGAATTGAAGGGCGAAATTCGCGTGGAAGTCGCCCAAGTTGAGAAAGCGATGTTGGAGAGAGTCTACGCGAACTTCCTAGAACGCCTCCAGCGCTGCATCAACGATTTCGGCCACCACATGCCTGATGTGATTTTCCACACTTGACTGTCTCAAATGCTATTTCCTTGTGAACCTGATTCCGTCAATAAATTTGTTTTCGAGTAAAAATGAACTATTTTATGATTTTTTTAAAACTGTCCATCCTCTCTGCCGCACCCTGTATAAATTAGTTTACTGTCGCTTGTTTTGCTAAATTAAGTGCGGCCGGCTGACAGAAGTCCTGTCGAATTATCACAGCGTGGCTCGATAAAGGGCAAGTGCGCAACTATTAAGGCTGTTCTGTGATATAATACTGTACAGATATTAATGTTGCTTCACTGCTATGATGCATTCAAAAATCGGTTTTACATAATATTCATGTTATAACTTAGATGTTTTCATTTTTCAGCCAGAAAAATTGTAGATCTGCATTGCAACATAGAGGAGAACATAGAAAAGGTATACTCAAAGCAAGAAGTGCTGCAATACATCTCGTTTGCGCGAAAATTCAAGCCCGTGATCAGCAGAGAGGCGGGTGAGCTTTTGGTATTGTACTACAACAGGCTGAGGCTTCGCGATAGTACCAGTACTGGAAAAGCTACTTGGCGAATTACTGTTAGGTAGGTAGAGTTGTATACACACAAATTTCATTACAGGCCACCTTTTGACCTAAAAAAAGAAAACAAAAAACACACCTCTAAAGTATTGAAATACGATTTCTAGTTTCTATACAACTTAATAAATTATTCTGACAAGCATAGCTCTAAACTCAATCAGAATAAAGTTACTGGGCTCTGAAATTACAGATATTATCTTGAATCTCGGAGAAATAATGGACCATACTAAGTTTCATCACGATATATTATCGGTTTTGTCTATTTATACAGAAGTTTAATAGAATTACTGCTTAACTGGAATGCTGTTGCCACTTAAGGTCAAACACTCTACCAACTAAGTAACTGAGCTATGATTGTGATCGATTGTTTAGCAAAGTAGATATGTGTATGGAAGGGTGTCCCAGCCTAAGAGGGCATGCGGTTGGGGAACGATAACCCGTGTCGACTTTCGGTCAAACTTTGAATTTGAAAGTTAATACGGAAACCATGTATGGATTTCAAAACCTAATTCTTATTCGACAAATACAACACTGCTTTATTCTATCTCATACTTCTTAGATTGTTATTATTAAAAGAACATTTATTTACAATATATACGTTATTCTTGTACGCAATTTAATAAAAATCGTTTTTGTTCCTCGTCAGCAGTGATTAAGCCATGGAAGTGTTGCATTAACTTGACTGCTCATTCTGCCGTATCGTCAACCGATCTCAGTGTTTGCACCTTATTCTTAGCGTATCGAAAAGAATCATTATGTGGCCATGAAATTGGACACTCGTCGAGAAAACTGCCATCAATTTTGAGTCGACTGAACAAGGACTTGCTTCTGATTGAAACAAAGTTATGGATATTTTTCTCTGAAAGACTAGCCACCATCTAAACATACTGGTTCTGTCCGTCCGACCATAGACAGTCAACTATGGACAGAGATGTTTTGTTGCTTTTTGGCAACTCATCGGCATCGTCTAGGCTTGGCGTCAGGTCAGGACAACAAACGAAAGCATAGCAACTAACCTCTATCTGAGGTATAAGATCTATCGAAACAAGGCAGTATAAGGTGACATGCCATCTATTGCCAGAATCGCAGTTTATGCTGGCTTATTTTAACATTTAGCATAAATAAGACAGAGAAATGTTGGCAGAACTTTTGTAAAGCTTCTTTTGAAATGGTTTTGACAATTCTTTCATGAGCCTTTAAAAGGCATAAATCCTGGAAAGATGCTTTTACCACTAAATTGCATTGCAACCACGGTTTCACGTATGTTGCCACAATGAACAGGCAGATATATAAAAGAGCTACCTTATCCTTATTAGAAAGTTTGAGCTGGGAACTTGTAACGCTATTTTTAATGAACAGATTGATCTGGCCATCCATCGAGCTTGTTGCATGGCGCCTGACGGTCGAATTTTAATTTTTCTCCGCCAAGGAATATTATTGAAAGTTCTATTAATACTCGATAGTCCTCTCTAGCAACTTCTTTTTCAATTTATATCGATAAAATTCTAGCAGTCTCTGAAATATTCAGGCATGACAGCTTTTCAGTATGAAATCTGTATTTTTTTCGGGATCCACATTTTTCCAGCTCTCGAGAAACTTTTTAAACATTGGAATGTCAGGGCTTGTATTCACTTTTTCTTTAAACTTTGCGTGCATTTAAACCAATTTACTATCCCAGTGGGCAGTTACAGTATCCGGTACCTCGCTTTGGAAATTAAGCTTTATAGCTTCTTTTTTATACCAGCTAAGGCCTAAACAACCATGGGGTACCTTGGGGCTACAGGGAAAAGGGGGGGGGGACGCCACACGGTCTCTGGTCAGGGAACACGTGTGCATGCAACATGCACACATTCTGGCCCCGCCTGCGAGATCCGCCGGGTGGTACCTCCGCGTTCGACAGTCAGAGACCATCTACCACCTACGAGACCATCTGCCACCTCAGCGCGCTGCGCGCTCATTTCGGTTTTCGCTACGAACTCTTTGAATGGAGGTCTTGCTTATAGGAGACTCGTCAGTGTTATGTCCAAGTGCCTCAATGGTTGCGCGCTCATTTCGGTTTTCGCTACGAACTCTTTGAATGGAGGTCTTGCTTATAGGAGACTCGTCAGTGTTATGTCCAAGTGCCTCAATGGTTGCTTCAATAATAAAAAGATCATATCTCATACTTAACTGACACCTATCTAATGTTGCCACAAATTTTGGATTCATGAAACTTTTCCTAATTTGCGTTTGATTAGTATCAGGCTGTGTGCTCTGAGTTGCGATGGGCAAAGTTTCTTGTAAATCTATCTCGGAATCTGAAGATGAATTTTCTTGCACTTTTTCGTAAGATGATGTCGAAAGAGTTAAGGAAGCAACATATTCAGCTCGCGGGTATTCCTAAGACGCGCCTTTTCTTTTTTGTATGGCTAATTTCTTGTCCACCCCAGCTAAGTGACCAGGTCGACTTGGCTCTCTCTGCAGCTACAAGAAGATCCTATCTTCATTCGAGTTCGAGATGGCGGGTGACACGGACCTCGCTTTGTCTCAGGGAGACAAAATGTGTGATTTATGCGGTACAAGTATTCGTAAATCGTATATTAAATGTGATGGTGAGAGTTGTAGTGTCTCGATGCATTCAAAATGCTTTGAAACTGCAGCAAAATTGTTCATTATTGAGCGTAAGTCTTGGAAGTGCAGGAGCTGCACAACCAAACTCAAACCACCTTTGGCCTTCCTGTCCGGATCTTGCAGTAGTCCAGCTGGAAGTTGACCATTTGTCTCATCTAATAACGATTTATTGAAAAAAAAAATTCATCCATGAACCTTTCATGTGCTACAGTCACAGCAGGAAGATGTCAAGGTGATACAAAAAGTGGCTATGTTTCTTCATACTCGGTAGCAGCAAAAACTAACAATAACAAACCATCAGCTGGTATGATGATTAAATCAGAAAATACATCTATTCCAAATGATGCTGTAATTAAGGATATTCAAAACAATGTGCATCTGGCTAGAGGTTATTCTTCATAAAGAAAAATTTTGCATTGGTGTCATTTACAGACCCCCATCTAAGTCCTTTGGCGATTTTGCTAACGTGTGGGACTCTGTCCTGCCTTTGTGCATCTGTCACTATGATAACGTTTTAATATTAGGTGACATAAACTCTGATTTATCTAATACCGACAATAATCTTAATAAATGCTTTTCGTGTTATGGTTTTTGCCAAATGGTTAAAGAACCCACCCGTATCACGGAAACTTCAGCCACTCTGATTGATGCAGTTTTTTCAAATACTAAAGAACTTTTTACAGACACAATGGTTTTGGATGCTGGGGAAATTTCCGATCACCGACTTGTATGTTGCTCGCTGGAAATTGCTGTTAAAAAAACTAAGCAAACTTTCATCTCTTTTCGAGATTTTAAAAACTTTGATGAAAAAGGATCTTGTAGTGATTTAAGCTCAATTGTTTGGCACGACCTGATATTATTGAATGACATTGATGAAAAAGTTGATTTCCTTACAAGGAACATTCTTAACGTTTTTGATATCCACGCGCCGCTCACAACGGTGAGAGTCAATAAACGTCAGGCCCCTTGGTTGACCTTTCCGTTCAAAATTATTCTGAAAGAACGTGATGTTGCACTTAGAAAATATAAATCCGATAAAACAGTATCGAGCTGGTTAAGCTACAAAGAAAAACGTAATTTTGCTCTTGCGTCAATTAGGCGTGAAAAAGCGGGTTACCTATCTTTCTTGCAAGAGCATCATATGTCGAAAGAACTTTGGAGAGCTTTAGGTAACATAAATATCGGTGGCTTTAATTCAAAGACAAGAACTGAAAGTATTCCGTCTCACCTCAATGATCCAAGCGCTATAAACGATTATTTTGCATCAGTGTTTCATTGTGCTCACCCCGACGAAGCAACATTCAATTTTTATCACAATAACACGTTTGGCAATCGGAGATTTTCCTTCACTCTGGTTGAGCCTACTACTATCAAAACTGTTGTGAGTGGCCTTAAGTCAAATGCAAAAGGTATTGTCGGTATATCTCTTTTTATGATTAACCTATCTCTCCCTATTATACTACCTTACTTGACCCGAGCAATAGTAAGGCCAATACCTAAGGTCAGGAAGCCCACCGATTTCTCGGATCTTAGGCCCATCAGTCTTTTGAGTGTGGATTTCTTCAAGGCCTTTGATAGAATTGATCACGCACTGATGTGCGCTAAGCAAAAATTTTATCGTTTTGATAAAATAGCACTGCAGTTTTTTAAATCATACCTAACCCACCGTTCTCAGCGCGTCTCACTTTCTGGAGTTTTGTCAAATGAGCACTTTATCACTTCGGGTGTGCCTCAGGGCTCAATTTTAGGACCCTTTATTTACGTGAAAAACTAATTTTTAGGTATAATGTTCATCAACGACATATCCGTAACACATTCGCTTTAACAATGCCACTTCACAGTTCATCTATTTTTAACAGGTCCTTCTCATATAATGCATGCATGTTGTACAATAGCTTAGATTACAGAACAAAAAGCCTGCCGCTGTATAGTTTTAAAAAACACTTAAGAGCTCTTCTGCTCAATGGTGATTCTTAAAGGTGTTTTTCTCCAGCATTATATTTTTAAGCTAATTTTTATTTAGGTTGTAATCAGTTACATGGGCATTTTCCTCCATTTATTTTCTTTACAGCTGTACTTTTTTACCATCTATTATTCTTATGCAGTTAATGGTTAAGTGTAAGAATAGCTGCCATAGCTAAACTTCGCCATTAGCTGCTCACTAATCTAATTATAGATAATACTATATGCATTATCTGTAATTTGTTTTTTTCTAATAAAAGACGGTTTATTATATTATTATTATTATTTATTTGCATCAATTGAAGGGCATCGGCATGCGCAATATCAGACAGATTTTCCAAGTTCGTAACAAACTCTTGTCGACGTTGCTCAAACACTTCTTGTGTTTTCCCTACATTTTTTTGCAAATCTCTCCAAACTTGGTATAAGGTA